CGGCAGGTAACTAAAAATTTTTTCAATAGATGATTTTGATGCAGATGAAAAAATTTTCAAACACGAAGTTTGGGGACTTGAGCTAAAAATGAGCAGGGATACAATTTCTTAGCCAATCATATTCTTATTTTGTCCCAAACTTGTTTAAGAAATGTGCAAAATTTGCTGTGGAAAAGCAAATACATATTACATGCCTTGTGCCCAATCTTTTTGCAATAAAACCCAATTTCCTACCGAGAAACCATTTCGATAGAAGATTTGCAAGCAGCCCACTGTACTTAGGAAGTATATCAGAATCCGAAGCCCTATCTAGGTTTCTTGTGAACTGGTCTCCAGGGTCTCTTACAGCATTATTATTTTCCAGGGAACTCTCTTCCAGTGAGTAACTGTCTTTCAAAGTATTTTACTGCAAACATATTAGTTCACAATTTTTCAGATGGAATTACATTTGTTTTGGCTTTTATGACATAAATCAAATATCCCTGAGAAGTAAAATAGTCAAACCCTGCTAAGTTTACCTAACAAAATTTGGATAGTGGTGTGCATGTTTCAGATTTACAGCTAACAGCGAAGGTTGTTTTTATGAACTGTTTCGGATTTTATGCAATTAAATACTAGCAAACAACAGGCTGTGGAAGCAAAGGATTTATTTCAGTTATGGAGTTTGACCAGATTACTGAGATGCTGAGTTAGTTGCTGAATTAAGGGCATATGTACAGTACCTTGCTTCTACTATAGCATTTCCTCCTGTTATCTCACTGAAGGGTGCAAACTGGTGGATTTCCTCAATATCAGCTTGTGTAATTACAGCTTCATCACGCGTATATTTGATTTTGTAATTGTAAGTAGCAGTTGCCCGGAAATTCTTGTTTCTCTTTATAATATAAAAAGCAAAGAAACAAAGAAACTAGAAAGTCATTGAACTTCTAAATTCTGTGACTAGAAACTATTACATCACCCACTTCAACCCCCTTATTTTCCAGGGCTGTTTTGTTCATCGTCCACATGAGTGCTTTATGTGAATTCTGTGTGCACACTTCCATGGGAGAGATCAGGCACGCTGCCTGGCTCCATTACTTTTACTGCTAAGAAGTGTTAGCTGGTTTTTCCCTTTCCCAAATATAGGTAATTGGTTATTCTCTTGAGAAGGAGACACATTTTCTGAGGAGAGCAGCAGTATAAGCCATGTGATTTTCTATTTCAAAGACAAGATTTTAATGAGATGCAGCAGTACTTGTCTTGAATAGCAGAAACTGGACATGACTATCTTTTTTTACTCAATGGAGTAGGTGAATTGACTATTGTTGATAATTAATGGTTTCCAAGCCAGCTAGGTTAGCTAGTTGAAGTGTGTCTGCAGTACATGACAGTCTGCAGCACAGACCTCTGCTGCTCTGTGAATCTGATTCTCATATAGAAAGAAAATGTTGATAAGTAGATACAGAAGATCTGTCTCTTCTCTCATTTTAAGTGTAACAAAGCAAGAGATAACGTGGATACTAAATAGCTCCCTGAATATGAATATCAAATACACATACATAGTACCACTCTGGATTTACCTGCTGGCAGGTCTGGCACGGATGAGTGTACGCCGAACCTGTGACCATTTGAACTTTCTCTTCACAACTGTCCAGGTCCTTGGATTTGGTCACATAGACTAGGTTCGCTTTCTTGTTTTCCTGGATTGTGTAGGTTGTGTTGCAAATACCTCCGATCCCAGCCTGGCAAAAATGAGAATGTGATCAGAGAAGTTCACGTTTATGCAAAGCTTCATCAATTCTCCACATGGGCTCTCCTCTTTAATTCTGTATTTTCAAAATTCCTGATAGAAATGAATGCTTTTTTATTTATGGTACTCTTCAGAAGCAAAATCACGATGATTGTTACATTCATCTCTTTTTAACATGTACCGTTTTCCGGTAAGCCAAATCAAAGTTTCACTGAGAGAACTAAAATTGTCAAGAGTTTCACCGAGATGAGATTTGGAGCCTCAGAAAAGGTGTGTAAGAATTTACAGTTAGAGCTGTCGATTATGAGATACAATTTAAGGAATATTGATAAAAAGTGCCAAAACAATTTGATCAGTCAGAATAAAATCTCAACAGCAAAGTATTTTAAGGTTGGAGATGACATTCTGCCCTTAAAATTTGCTTTTATAGACAGCTTATAAATGCCTATGGAACAGGCCTTGCAATAACAGATCATCTGTCACAATACGAACAGCAATAATTAAAAAGAATTTCAGGATAGCAGAGTTTTGATTGCAGGTTTTCTTGAGTTTGCAGTTTTAGCTCAGACCTTCAATAATATTTCAAGCATATATATTTATAAGAGCTCTTAAATCTCCTCAGTCAGTGAGGAGATTTTCGGAGAGGAAAATATTTGATTGCATTTTAAGAGGAAAGGTTATTGTTATTGATAGCATAGCCACTCCAGAGAGCAGCTCTGGGCTATGTCAGAACAGCAAAATGGTCATGTGGTGGTTGGGAGGCAAGACATACTCACTTCATCTTTAGCTTAACAGTATTCCTGAAGATACTGTGGCTTTTGAAAGGGCTAGAAATAAGAATTGCCCAAGCTTTGTGAATGACTTGTACTCTGCAAATACAGATGTGGGGCTCCTCTGCAGACCACAAGGTGTGGTAGAGACATCTAGACCTTAAATGGGAATGTCCAGCCCACCAGGCTGAGTGGGATGAAATAGCCTCCTGCCCAGCTGGACGCTCTAGCTGTGCGCAGTTCACAGCTTGTTCAGAACCCCTTACACTACACCCTGCAGGATGTGATGTGGACTTTCCCAGGTTAATCCCTTAAACATCTCTGAAGCTCAGATTTTGGGACTAATAACATGTATCTTCCTTTATAGAGTGACTTGAGATTGTCAAGCAAGGGTGCTGATACTCATTAATCAGTTGTTTTCTGAGAAAAGCAAAAAAAATTTGGAAATGATTCTAGGAAATGAAGTCACATATATCGCTCAGCAGCAAGAGTAGGACATATTGCTAACTGAATTAGAAAGAATGAAGATGTAAAACTAGAAATGAGAAAATAGCGCTGCAGAATATGAACACCACCACTCTGGTTTTTATGTGCAAAAAGCAGCATGAAAATATTAAATCATGTAGTTCCTTTCCCAGAAACAACTCTAACATAAAAATAATTTTCTTAAAAAATTAAAGTTACTCTGGTCTGCATTTTCAATAAAAATAACATGAAAATATAACAATTCCAAGGTTTTTGCTGATCTTTGAATCAAATGTAGTCTAATCAATGTAAATGTGGTTTCGCAAAAAACACATTGCAATTTCTGTGGTGAATAGTAATATCAGATGATTTACCTTGACTAAGATATTAAAACCTGAAAAACAGTGGAAATTCCAATAGAGCATCAACTGCAGCTGTCAAAGCTATTACAGTAATGTAACGGCATATATATTGTTTTCCTCCTAAAAGAGGAGCTAGAAGAGATTAAAGTATGTATGATTGGTAAAAAAGTTAAATTACTGTTATTTTAGCTTTAATCTTGTGCTGTATGTTTAAACTTGTTTTAATACAGTATTCAAATTTTATGTAGGCTTCAGCTTTCCCAGGAGTTTACTTTCTCTAGAATCACAAACCAGATTTTCTAAGGGTCTAATACTGAAAAGGCATTTTCTGAAATACTTTGATCAATTAGATTAAAAATCTGCTATTCGGTTGTCCTGTTTAGGTACAGCTCCATCAAATATTGTCCCACAAGAACGACTTCATCATGATTTCCCAAGTTTAGGTTGTTTCTTGTTAGTAAAGTTTATATCAAGGATGAATTCAGAAAATAAGCTAGAAGAATCTGAAGAGAGGACTTATTTAGTCGCAGAGCGAAAACAACTGCCAAAACAAAAAGCTCACCTCCTGTAAGCTGTATGAATGCTGCATCTTCTTTATACTTAGCTCCAGCACATTCAGAATCCCTCTGTAGATGTTCAAACCATCATCTGAGACAGAATCAGGAGCCATAAGGTTTCCAACATGGCCATTGCTATACTCAAACTTGATGGGAGTACTGAGCTGCCCGGTTAGTACCTGGGTCAGCTTGAGTGATCGAGAGAACGAGCTTGTTGGCCAGACACCGTTGTATTCTGCTGCTTCCACTGAGTGAATCTGGAACAAAGGGGGACTGTAATTCCTCTAATTTTTTCAGTTAACATTTTTCAATGCACATAAGAATCTAGAGCTTCACTCATGTCAAAAACACACTTTTAAACGACACAAAGCCTTTTCAAAGGGAAAGCTTAAAAGTTGTCATATAACATAGCTAGTATCAATATACATATTTCTATACACAAAAGCAAAGAGAATAATGCAAATGACTGTGATATTGCCACAGTCACTGCCCTCTGTTCTGTTTCATAGATAACCCATATTGCCAAAGGTTGACTTGTATGAAGAAGTGAGCCAGAAGAGAGCTGCATGAAGCAGGTTGCTGCCCAAAAGTAGTGTGGAAGATCTGCAGGAAATTGCAGGAGAAAGTTAATGTTGCATAAAGCATCATTAACTCCTGTAGTGAACTCTGCTGTCTCCCTCGCTGGGGTCACAGAGCACAGACAGCACTCAGAAACTAATAACAACATGGCTGCTGGGCCAGCCAGATAGTCATAATTAGCTGGAGCAGTGGAAAGCAGATG